GTTTACATGCAAATGCAGACAATGCATATCTTGGCGCAGCAAAAGCTCGTTTGGAGCGGCTCTGACAGAGAAATAATATTTCAAGGCAGGATGGTAATCTGGATGAACTGACTGCACAGGTGATGTTTTCAGGTGGACTTTCTCACTTCAGAAAATATTAAAACTACTTTTTACCTACTGATCACAGCAAATATAGCTGCCATTGCTACAGGCAAAGAAAGGATAGGGTAGCTTGTCCCAAAGCGCATCAGATCCACTTTTGCACCGCACAGCTAGAGCAGCAAAGATGCTTCAGCTGTGTGTCAGAGGTAAACTTGTACAAGCATAAAAAATGAAGCAGCACATGCGTTTCTCCTCCTGCGTTTGTTTTGAATATAGCACAATGCTAAATACATTTCTTTTAATTATATGTGTTGGCAAAGAAACAGTTGGATCTGTTTTATTTTGTTTTTTACTTACCGGTACTAGTTTTACTGTTTCAATTCACATTTACATGCATAAAGGTATTCCAATTTCAGCTTCAGTCATATGGACTTGTTGATTTTAAGTTCTTGGTTCTATGTGTAGTGATTGTAGTGAGGATGGGGGGGTGATATTCATTGTAAGCAGCATTTTCTTTTTTTTTATCAGTTTTTATCAGTTTTATCAGTTTATCAGTTCAGTTTGCATCACAGATGTTTTTGCAGCTTGTTTAGTCGATTGCTGCACCTCCGCACCTATTGGCCAATGTAGATCACAGTTTTAGGGGGTGCAACAGCTGCGATGTTTTGTCTAGAAACTGCTCTTTAAAAAGCCTGACATGCAGATTCTGATTATGACCAATACTGGCAATCTTCATAACAGTGTTTCCTAAGATCACAGTAAACCTTGAATGTTTCAGTCAGAAACAGATTAACTAATTAGGACTAGGATGGAGACAGGATTTATAGCAGACCTACAGCTTTTATTGTCTATGAAATTATGCAAGAATGTCCCTCAGCCGACCTCCAGGCTATTTAAGTTAATCAACTCTTGATTGTAGTCAGCCTTTAAAAAAACAGGTTTAAAATTAGACTATACAGTTTAATCCAAATTCAGCAGTAGCAAAGATAGTAAAAGGCAGAGAATATATAAAGTAAAGAGGTAACCTCTACAGCTTCAACCCATTGCTTACACTATTTAGAGGTGTTGCCTTTTCATGCCTATGTTAAGGAAAATTTGGTGAGATGGGGATTTAGATACTGTATATCTTTTTCGGTTAAAACCGGAAAAAAACAGCAGGTTAGGCAGGGAGTGCACTACCAGCTGAAAATGGTCTATTATCCATAGGAGGAACATTATGATTGCTAGCAGGTATAAAGCAAATAGAAAGATAAAATTGTTCAGGCAAATTTAAGAAGCCATAAAATTATGGGACTATAAATTGGATCATTTTGACACTCAGAGGACAAGACTGCTATACCTCTGTGCTTTGGGGGAAGCAGTGAATGGCTTCTATTTGTGGTTATCTTGGTTTAAAAAAAGGAAAGAAAAACAGACTTCGCCATGCATAACTTTACCAAAATTCAACAGTCAACTGTTGCTCCAAGCCAGTGGTGCCACAGTGGTGGGGTAAACCACCAAAGGTCATGGTTAAAGAAGCTGGTTGTTCACAGAATGCTGGAAGAAAGGAAAAAACAGGAAGCAACAGGAATAATTATAGCTTGAGAGCACTGTGATAAAAACAGTTTAAGAGTGTTGGGAGATTTAAATGGTGTTAAGAGCAGGAGTCTGTGCTTCAAGGACCACCTCACACAGACGTGTCCAGGGTTTATGATACAGCTTTGCCTCTGCTCATAATGAAAAAGACAACTTCAGAAGTATATTATGTGGACTAATGGGAAAATGTTTAAAGGACATGATATTACTCAGATCCACCAGAAGAGACTGAAGGATATACAGAGAAGTTTAAAAAACCTTCCAGAGAAATACCACACTGCATATGACTATGACCTGGATGACTGAGAATCTTCACCAGCATCACATGTAATAATTCAGATGAGATGAAGACATTTTTTACGCAGCTTGTGCTTCATTAACTTGTAGTTTTACAGGTTGATCGGGTTCATCCCAGGATGCAATGATGCAAGCCGCTCTAAACCAAGTGATAAATGCATTTTCTGTACAGCCCATCGATATTTTCATTTGATTGAAATATAGGTTTTTAATTATTAAAGGTATGGAGGACGACCTTTTAATTCCGGGTGGAATACGTGACCAACTGGAGCAAAAAGAAGGGATCATCTGTCCAAACGGTCATTTAACTGAGATTACTATAATGTCCACTATATAGTCCCCACTGCATGTGGACACAGTAAGCTTGTACGAGCTATGAGAACAGCACATTTTAAACAGGGGGTGCACGAGGGGAAATCGGCCCGTGTAGGGCGGGTCTTTTAAAAAATCATCCACAATACCTTTAGGGACCCCTATCCGAGGATCCTTTACAAAACTCTCTAAAAGTGCCAATGTTTATACCATTGTTGCCTTTTACCACACTAAAATAAAAATGCGTCTGATTATGCTTCTCTGTTACATTAAAATCACCTTTAATTAAAAAAAAAAACCCTTTAAGCATGTATTAAACATGCATTTCATCAAGCCCTCATTTTTGTTAAAAAAAGTTTTTTTTCTATATAATTCTATGAAAATCATAATGAACATAAATAAAATCTAAAATACATAAGTCTGTGTGTGATTAATCTATTGAGCAGAGGTGGAGCTAGATGAGCCCCCCCTTTAATACAGATGACGGCTGCAGTAATACTCTCAAGTGGAATATTTGAAACGTTATTTTTTGTGGTTAAATATACACATCAATATAGGAACATCAAAGATGATAAATGCAGAATTCCTGCTTTTTTCAGAACTAGATTTTGTGTTTTATGGGGTAAAGAGAAAATGATGTGTCTCTGCAAGTCATCTAGGAGTCTTTAGTGAAATCAAAGATAAATAATTTGAATAAAAACTTATCAAATAATCATTTTAGCTATGTTTTTTTAGCAAAATGTTTATTGATACAATTGGGTAAGTAATGACAATGGATTAATAATAATTTAAATATATGCATCTATTTGTTAGCAAAGGCTGTAGGAAAGTATAGTTAGTTTTTATTTAGAAAGAATGGATGTTTTGCTCGTTAATTTTCCTGTTGGAACAGTGTAGATTGACCGTGAGGTTCTGGTGCCTATCCACTATCAGCCCCCCCTACATTAGTTATTGCCTGGCCCTCCTTGTAAACATTTTCTGGCTACGCCTCTGCTATTAGGTGGGTTTTACATAGGGAAATTAGTTACTAAAATGAATAAACCTTTCACTAGCATTCGTTTTAACAACCAGAATGTGACCTTGGAGTGCCTTAGTGCTCAAAACGAAAATAAAGATAATGAAAAAAGTACCTTTGTTAAAACTTTTACTTTCTTTTTTCCGTTTAGTCATAAACACAGCGGGTAGCAGCGCCCAGAGTAGCAGGCGGGCTCTTTTACCTGAAA